TTTGTACTTAATTACCCAAAAAAGAAACAAAGATTTCTTGAATGGTGAAGTGACCGAAAGGCCCTCATATTTCTAACATCTAGTCTTCCTCCTCATCGTCATCATCGAATGCATTGTGTTGTAATTTACGTCCAATAAATGATTTACTTAATCAGCCGACACAGTTATCTCCACCCCCTCCGTCGTCTTCGGCTTCCCATTCCAGCGGCAGCAATCCCCTCCGGCAGCCAACGAGTCCACGATGGGCTTAATGACCAAAATGCCCTGCCCCACGGCTGCACAAATTAGCGTCGACAAAAACGCAGCAAATGAGACGGCTGTGAACGCTGGGTGGTCCGGCTTCCACAACACGGTCATCCCCATGAGAATAATCTGCAGCGGAAGCGGCACCAATACGGTTGCAGCAAGGGTGTAAATCCTTAACCTCAGCCCCTTGTTGATCACCAAGGACAAAACCTTCCAGCATGAAAACAAGAACCACATCGAGAACGCGCCGCCAAATGCGGCGAACATGATGGTGTTCAACAAAGGGTATGTGCATGAAACCATTCTGCTGCCGTACTCGACCTTATGGACGACATAGTTCCGTACGAAAATCTCCGGCAGCGGGAGGTGGAGCTTGTGGAAGGGGTGGAAGAACAGGAAGAGGACCTGCACCAGAAGCATGGGAAGACACGTGGCGAGGACGAAGGCGATGGCCCAGGAGACATTGGGGGTCTTCTTTTCAGTGGAGACGTCGACGAGGAAGAGCAGGGTGACGAGGAACGCGGGCTCGAAGAACCCTAACGAGAGGGCCACGTGAATTTTGCAAAACTGGGGCTCCTCGAAGGAGCCGAGGACGGAGAGGAAAGGGTATAGGTAGGTGCGGCGGAGGGTGGGGATGCGGAGGAGCTCGTTGAGGGACCAGAAGATGATGAATATGACAAGGAGGAATCGGACGGTCCAGAGGGAGTTGAAGTGCTGGAGGTGGAGGGCAGTGCGGGACTTGAAGCAGAGGTGGAAGATGAAGGAGAGGGAGAGGAGGGAGAGGACGATGAGGGCGGAGATGAATAGTAAGGTGGCAACGTCGAAGGCGGAGTCGAGGAATGGCGTCGAAGGAATGAAGAACATCGAGCGAAATATCAATTGGATTGATTAACTAATTAATTAATTTGTAACAAATTAATTAATTAGTTAATCAATAATATTGTATCTCTCTCTCGATCTATCTGATGATCTCGATGAAGGATGGATATAAGGATTTGCTATATAGCTATGACAAACCCTCCTTTTGTTTGTCCTCCTTTGTATATATCGATGGGTAATCGATAAATGTATTTATATCGATATCGATATGTTGCTACCTAACCACGCGGCTACGGTAAAACAAGAGGAGATGTGATCAATGTTGTTGTACAAAAGTAAGGGCGGCAATAAGGCTGGTGGCCGTGGCGGTGAGTGAGGCGGCGGAACCTGGTGGGACCGGGGATTATGCATGGAATGGATATGGTGAATAAATATTGGATAGAGTACTGAGGAACAATATTGGAGGAGGTAAAGGTGGAATATGGAAAAAATGAGGAGGAAGAGGGCATTGGGAGGGGGTTTACGTCGGAAGAAGATTTGGGGAGAGAACGATCGAGACTTATTTCTCTCCCCGATTCCCCTCCGATTCCCGACCACCGGGAAACAGGCTGTTAGACAGCCGCAACGAAGGAAGAGCAATCAATGATTTGGGGTTTAGAAACCTAAGATAGAGAGAGGGAGGGAGAGTCAAGGTAGGAGGAGAAATGTGGTGTAATGAGATGTCTCCTTCCATTTCGGCTTTTTACGGTTAGATTTTTTTTTTGGAATTTTATTATAGACATTATTTTTATTATTTATTTTTAAAATGTTTTGAGATAAATTCTATCTACGAATTAATAGAATGTTATTGTTGGCTTCTTGGTGAGGAAAAAAGAAGTTAAAATTGTTAGTTAAGAAGATACAGATCAAAACCTTATATTCTAAAATTTGTGTTCATTTTTGCGGCCTGTAATTGGATTTAACACGGTTGAGCATGATCTGCATGACAACTTAGATGGATTGTTTTTAGCATATACCATTCCACATTTGGGTAATTTCAAGCCTAATCATATTTATATGCATAAAAAGATAAATGATAATTGTAAGACTATAATTTTAGACGTAAGATAATTGCAACCATACATTCTGTTAAATGGTCACATCTTTAATATATATTGTATATTTTTGTATCTTGTGAATTTTGGTACAATATTTACTGTACGTAATACTATCACAATATAACAGTTAGATTTGTTGTAGTGACATGTAAATAGTATATATGAATATGACTTTCAGAAGGTGATATTACTAAGTATTTATAAATATTGTAGTCAATTCTGTAAATTGCAATGGAGAGTAAAGCAACTATTGCACTGCAGCATCCATAAAGAATCACTTTTGAAACTTATATATCTTTTGCAGAGATAGAACCAGAAAATTTGCTTTTGGTGATACTAAAATGAGTGCAATTTATTAATTGAATTTATTTTCATCGTTTACATTTGGCGGAATAATGGAAATAAAAAGTGCATTATGGCATGATGCTTCATCGACTCACTTGGCTGCAGTCTGTAGGTGGCAATATATATAAAACCTGCAGTTCCAGTTGGGGTATGATTTTCTTCTCTCTAAATTTATCTCTCTTCTTTTGGCTGCAGTCTGTAGCTGGCAATATATATAAAACCTGCAGTTCTAGTTGGAGTATGATTTTCTTCTCTTTAAATTTATCTCCCTTCTAGTTCTTTCCTACTTGAACGATTATGATTAAGCAATATCAACTTTTTTTGTTGACATATTTATAGAGAAAGAAAGATAACAAAGAAAGCGAGAGAGGAGGGTAAGGAAAGGAAGGAGATGAGAATGCTACTCCATTCCAATTACGGCTTTTTGTTCAACCTTGTGAAAATATCAAGTCCTTTTCTTTGTAATTACTTTGTTTCGAACTTTGCACAACTGCAACTGCAACCCACTATTCACCATATGATACTTACATATATAGAAAAGTCAAATGTTTGTTTTACGATAATCATGTGGTTGTGGTCCAGACATCAAACGAAACACAAATTTGATCAAACACAAATGAAGAACAAATATTACTAATAAAATTTTAATATTTTTATTCTTGAAACATGGAATTCGATCATTACCCAAATACGAATCATATCAAATACAGCTAGGTTGACAAGTTGAATCCCAAAATACGAATACGAACATCTGATTAATAAACGAATAAGATATAAATTAGGACGATCCGGTTCAAATCCAATAAGTTTATTTCTCACGTGGAAATCAATATAATGGGAGCAGAGCAACTATTGCACTGCCACAATTGGCCGGAATTGGTGTATGCAATATTGCAACCCACAGCCAGTGCAGCCATTCTTAAAGAATCACTCTTGAGATTAATATATCTTTGCACAAATAAAACCAGAAAACTTTGCTTTTGTCGATCCCAAAAACTAAAGTAAAATTATTAACATATCCTCCTCTTTTACATTTAGCGGAATGAACGGAAATAAAAGTGCATTAAGGCATGATGCCTCATCGACTTGACTGCAGCTGCGATATATAAAGAATAATGTTAGAGATACTAAAATTTTAAATAAAATAATATGCCATCAATAAAAAATAAGCATATTAATGATTAATACTTAAGTAATAATTAAATCACCAACATCTACATCATTTGATTTACCAAATATATAAAACCTACATTTCCAGTAAACAGTACTTTCCATTCCCCCCGGAGAATAGATACAAGTCTTTTTCCTTCTAACTTTGTCACGAACATATCGCTCACCTGCAACCCACTACACACCATATAATAACATATAAATTGTCAAATTAATATTTGTTTTACTAATCATGCGCGCGGTTGTGGCCTGGCCTAAACTTTAGACAGTACTATAAGCTTGCTAGCTTACCAACCTTTAGTACATGAGAAACTAAGAACGTGCATGAAACACCATATGCATTTATACATGCTTATTGCTCGATCCAGTACAATAACTAATCCCAGTTCGCATTCCCATATAAATGTATCATTGAAAATGGGCAATTTGGTTCGATCTTTTTCGGCTTCAATTCAATATTCGGCTCATTTTGTTTGATTCTCAATTTTTCGAAATAGTTTATTTGAAGATAAGAGTTCAGTGTTAGTGCTCATACACACGTGATTGTAAACAATACAACTATTGAGAGTCTGAGACACACACTGGATGCATTTGCCAACACTTTCTCCAGTCTCCTATAAAAATAAATCTTATTATTGCATGTAAGAGCTACATGTATTGATAAGTGTGTCAATTTTATGATCCAAATAACATCACTCCATTTTAATTAGTCTGCAGGCCAGAAAAAGAAACAGATAACCGGCTTGGCATATCTAAATATGGGAGGGAGTGAAAAAAAATGCGCAATATATAGTATTGCGGACCTTATCACGTGCAACTAAGATCAGTGGATATTGTCCACCTTATCACGTTCATTCATCGATAGACATTTTGCCCACCTTATCACGTGTAACTAAGATTAGTGGATATTGTCAGCTCTTTTTGTGGTGATTAATGCGCAATATATAGTATTGCCGGTGTAAAAAAAAATGAAGGTTCAAATTAAAAAGGATGGGATATTGGAATATTAATCAAACAGATTACAATTTGAACTGTTTATATATATATATATATATATATATATATTTGTGTGTGTGTGTGTTTCTGGAAGTCTACGCTAATATATATGGGTGATTGGTGATCACAAATGTAATTGAGCAATGTGCAGGATGATCATGTTGTATACAAATTGAACAAACTGAAATAGAAATAACCTAACGGAACTTTATATTTTCTGGTAAAGAATGTGTTTGCTCTTGCTCTCTTTCTAACTGAAATTATTTTCAGTTGATCTAACAAAACCTCTCTCAGATTTCCATAGACAGATACGCGTGCACACGCACAAACATCAAAAGGATAGATGGCATGCATTGTAAAGAAATATATGTTCAAAAGATGAAAGAAATACCTCTTTTACAAAAGGAAACCGATCACAATAAAAGGAATCAATACTGCAGAATATATATATATATATATATATATATGCATGTATGTACGCACTCTGATCGGTGCCGATATATCTTCACGGCAATTTCATCCACGATACAAATAAGATTCGAATCCATGTCTTCCACTAAAAGCATGTATCAATACATTATTCAGTGGAACAAATAATATAGTCAGATCAGTAGAATATTAATTAGTAAAGCTGCTGAGAAGGGTGGAGAATGGAGATGAATATTATCTTATACTGAACTGATGTTGTGAATACAGCTCTACAAACTCCACCCGCCGCCCACTACCACTACAACTAAAGTAATTAACAGTTACTCATTTTGTAATCGGGTAAAGGATCCAGATTATCCAATAGATGAAAACACTAATTTCAATTGATCTTAAAAAATAAAAAAAATAAAAACCCTAGGGAGTTTAACCCTAGCTAAGGCCAAAGACAAGTACACAGATTGGAATTTAGGGTTGTGCTCATCATGACAAAAGATCTATTCAATGATGAACAAGAAGGAAAAGACTGAAAGAAATTCACAAACAGTCTTAATGTTGAAAGACATGAATCATAAGTCAAAAGCAAATGATTGATTTTTTTTCTTTCTTTTTTCATACCTGCAGTACGATCAAACTAAGCCCGCATCATCATTGAACTAATCTGTCAAAATAAGCAGAAAAAAGGGGTTTAGTCGAAATTCAAATACCTGAAGATCCATCGATCATCTGGGATCCGGTTTCGATCATCTCTGCGGGGCATCGGGATTGGTGAACTAATAATTTACATGAAGATAGATGTTCGGAAAATTAGATGGAAACAATAATTGAGGGGAATGAAGCCTGGTCCAAGAAATTACCGATTTAGGTAGTCTTGTACCAGACAACATTCCCCTCAAAGTTACCAGCTTCCTTTGTGATGCATAAACTCTGATATGATCATCTTCATCTCTTATACAGGTGGTGTTCTTCTCTTATTTGGATCGCGTTACTCCAAATGAAACAAAAGGGGAGAGAGTACTTTTACTCGTTGAATGAAAAGTATTATTAGGTCCCAGGAAATATTGGAGTTGGTGGTACGTCATAATTAAATACATGATTAGGTTTACTTTACGAGAAAGAAAAGAAAAAGAAAGAAAGGGCTGCACATAGAAAAAGTAGGTGCATGGGCCCGGTACTAGTCGATCATGTTGGTTTCTCTGGAACCAGCTGTAGGGTTAGGGCAATTAGGGTGGGCATACTTATGTTTATACATAAGTTTAGAGTTAGGCACACACTCACATGTAACTAATACATATATAAGAATTGGGGTGGGGACACTTATTCGTTTATATGATAAGTCAAAAGTATTAAGTTTCTCGTTGAATGCGACTTTGAACCAAATTATTATGATTAGCAGACTCATTATGTAGTTTAGTTCAAATATGCGTCCTTTTATTGTAAATATATTATTTGTATTGAAAAAAATTGAGACAACAATTATTGTGAAATCTTCATCTTATTACAATATCATCTTTAACTTCTTCAGTTATTATTATTTTTACCTAGTGTGATAAGTATAACATGAAAATTGAAGAAAATACTCTAAGCCAAAATTCAATAGTAATATGATTCACAATTAAGAAAACCTCAACAGCCTTAACATATGTGTTTGTAGTTTACCACAACCCTAGTTGGGAATTTAATATAAAAGAAAATTGAAAATTTCTTAAGAAAGTACTAAAATCCAAACATTGTCCTCAAAACTTAAAATGCCGTTTGGGGACAGAAATCAATGAAATTCGGCCAAATGCTCACATATCAGAGCAAAGCACTAAATCTTATTCCTGACGTCACGTTTGGGGATAGAAATCAAATGAAATTTGGTCCAATGCCCATATATCTGAGCGAAGCACTAAGTCTTATTCGTCACGACATTCTTCAACACATCATATCCTTCTTCGAACCTTGAGAAGCGGTTCAAACGAGCATATTATCAAAAAGGTGGAAATACGTATGGAAGTTGAATCCCAACATTGACTTTGCATCACTTCTGCTACTAGGTACCTAAGTTGGAAAGGGCGATTCTCTTTCCAGATTTCATAAATAGGTTCCTTCTTACTTGTGAGGCTGATAAAATTGCCCCTGTCAATGCGACCATTGCGTATTGGATCGAAGCTGTATGAGTGTGAAATGTTCAGGTTTTTTCTTTCCATCTTGCAAAATACTCAACGACACCATTGTACAACAAGTTGAGTAATGATTGTTTTCTTACAATTCACTTGAGCGTTTAGTTTTAAGTGTGCAAGATCATGTCCTCCAACTTCCCCCTACTGTATTTCTTTCAAGCCTCAAAACCTCAACGCTCTAATTTGTTAAATACTTGGATGAACACTGAACCTTCTCCCTTGTGACTACCTATAGTTTTTTGGCGGCTGCATCCTCCATAACCACTGATCCTTGAATAGCTAGCCACTCCTTCGACTCAAGGTGACAAAATCTTCCAAACTATACTCCTTGTTCATATTCAACCCGCGGATCCCGACCAAGCCGACCTGACAACTAATTGGGTGGGTGGTACGGTCAAGATGGTTAGGTGGTCAGCAATGGTTTCATCATATCATAACCCGATTGATTATGTCAACTTGCCGAACGGGTTGAGAGTCAACTCGGCCAAACCCACCGGTTAGTCACCCAATATCGAATTCCGTTGCTTACTTGGTTCACGTATTAGGCATGAGTTCTTCACTCATTTTTTTAAGACTTCCTTTGTTGCCTTATTTGTTTCAACGTATACATTTTCTGAAAAATTAGGTGAGGCTAGTATTGGTGAATAACAAAAGATGAATAATCTTGAAGAAGGAAAGCTTAGCAGCAGTAACAGAAGCTTGAGTGATTTACATGACGACATTCTTCAGCACATTCTCTCCTTTTCTAACCTAGAGAAGCAGCTCGAACGTGCATATTATCAAAAAGGTGGAGATACGTCAATCCCACCATTGACTTGCTCGGATTCCCCTTCTACTGGGTTCGGGGCATACAAGAGTTTTCGGTCTATGTGGATAGGGCGATTTTTCTGCGACATTTCGTTAAAAGCTTCCATTATATATGTCGTCCCTGTTATAAGTATAACACTTATAACACAGATATTGGCCCTTTTATTATACGTTGGATCAAAGGTGCAGTGCTTCGGAATGTGCAGAATTTTTCTATCAACATTGATGTAAGCATTTCCCGAATAAAAATACTGAATGCACAATTACTTGCGTTGCCTTGCTGCTTGCTTTCTGGCTTATCACTTGTGCAATTAGATCTATGCATGCCTAGTGTCCTCTAACGTCCCCCTAGAATATGTTTCTCCAGCCTCAAAACCTTGAAGCTCAAGTATGTTAAATTCTCGGATGAACACTCGACCAACCAATTATTTTCTAGCTGTCCAGTCCTTGAAGATTTATGTTTGTCACAGTGCTGGTTCTTGTCGAACGTCAGGACTGTCAATATTCGTGCACCAAAACTGTTGAGATTGACTATAGACGAAGATTATTATGGAGGCTCCGATCATGGTTTCCGGTTCATGGTTCATGGAACTAATCTCAAACACTATACATGCTTTGGTACATGTAAAAATGAGCATTACTTGTACAATCAGTCATCACTTGAGGAGGCAGATATTGGGTAGTCTGAATTGGATGGTGAAGATGATACCTATCGATTTTGTATGCTTCTTGGATGTCTCTCTAATGTAAAAATTCTCAAGCTTGAGGTATGCTTTATGCTACAATATTTTGTCGATCGAAGATGCATGTTTGAAAAGTTATGTTTCTCAATATAAATTTTGTATTACTAATATTTTAGCCAAATTTACATTTTTTTAGGCTCTAAGAGATATTGAAGCACTTTAGATGCGTTTCCCTCGTTCAAGTACGTAGCTCACTTGGAACTGTGTTCGCCTGTGCCAACGGAGTACAGAAAATACAGCAAAACTGTCCATGTCTGGAATATCTTCAATTAAGCGTGGTAATTCATGCATATATATAGCATTTTTTTTGTTCTACTAATTGCATACAACATGGAACCTGAACTTTAAAATTCAAAATATCGATTAAAATATTTGAATTTTCTTCCGTGATAACCTCACGTAATTTCTATGTTGTTAAGATCTCAAATGTATTTTATTACATTGATCAATCAAAAAGTTGCTCGATCAATCGAGGATGTTGTGCCTCCTTGTACCTTGTTGCATCTAAAGATGGTCAAAGTTATTAGTTTTAAGGGAGAGATTATGAGACGCAACGGGCAGTAAAGAGTTTGCTAAATGAAGGGTTGGCCTTGGAGAAGTTATTCATTAGACTCTCTTCGCGTGCATATGAAAAGAAGGTTTACTGGGAAGAATTCTTTTCTAAGTTTCCCAAACGATCGGAAGATTGTGAAATTGTGATTTGTTCATCGTATGATTGAGCATGTTGGATTTCAGAGAAGTTGAAGAAGTCAACAGCAAATTTGGGTTAACCTTATGAGGGCTATTTTGATCAATTAAAGCCCCTTTTTTTTTTTCGTCAAAGGTAAATTTCATTACCAACACGACAAATATAAATAACATGAGGTACAATTACAAGTCAAGCACAAAATAAACCAAAGCTCAAACAGACAATTGGGCCCAGAAAGAAAACCCAAAAAACAAAACAGCCCGAAGCCGGCTGCACCTCAACCGCCATCAAAGCAACGGAATCCTCCACCATGCACCACCATTCCCAGCAAATACCAAAGAGCCAACCAACCGACATGGTACTGTTTACTTTTAACGTTAAAGATATTTTTACTTTAAAAAGTCAATCTTGATACTATTGTATGCTTTTAATAATTATAAATTACTTTCAGATTGCTAAAAGTGTTCATGAAAGTGTTTAATAGAAAAAGTTAAAAGTAAATGCTGGCTGAAAAAGTACTTAAAATATTTTATTGTAAAATCACCTGTTGTGTGCTTCTTTGAAATGCTTTAATTGGAGAAGCACCTGCTGTTTACTTGAAAATTGTGTGATGCGGCTGACATTTCAAACATGATTATAAATTGGGTTTGGTGATATAAAACAAATGGTTTATAGAGCTTAGGGCCATTTATAGCTTGAGGAACAAGGTAATGGATCCAAACTTAATAGTCAATCTGTATGGGCATGTTTGGTGGCTGAATGAGATTGCGCCTTAGGAATTGGATTGGTAGGGATATGTAAGATATAATTTGTAATATATTTATAAAGATAGATTAAATAACTCATTCTATTGTGAATGTCATGTCCTCTCATATTTTGACACAACAAACAAAAGATTGAACTCAAATCCATTTTAACTGATCACAGTCTATCCCAACCAGACCATGCATTGAATAGACCTTACATGTTACGAAGGAAAGGCGAACTGTTGATGTTGAAACCATGCAACAACGACAGCGATTCAATCCCTTATTCCTAATGACTAGAGAGCCAAACAAGTCATCACCTCTAGATTTTTATCCCCCAAAGTTTTGCTCGCACACTTGGCACGAATCGCTCGCCGAAACTTGTCCTCACAAAGCTCCTAAACACCAAATTAAAGGCCAACTAAGGATATTTGACAAGTTAAAACAGTATGAATTGGGCAAGGTTATCCACGTTACATGTACACCAAACTTACCGGGACGACAAGAAATGCTAATCATGGTCGTTTAAAGACAAACGACGGTGTCGTTTTCAGAAGCATAGTTTGGTGAGGAGGGGATGAAGGCTTTAATCTTCGTTATGTTTATCCTGAGTCCTCCAGTCCTGGCAAGAAATGCAGCCAAGTAATTTGGATTTGGACAACAAAGTTTTGTCCCAGCTTGCTCAATACCTACAGCCGGCACTCTGTTCTTACGTGGAATCTCAATGAGCTTGCTCAATACTTCGAGGACATGGATGAAACCATTAGTTCGGCCAAGATGGAGAGTGTTGTCTTTGGACAACTTTTGGCAACAATATGCATAAGTTCTCTCATGAGCTAATCACTTTTTAATTTGAAATCTAATGAAAACAGAAGTTCGTTTTACTATTTAAGGCTTGTTTATGATGTTATGTAAATTTTTTTTGTTAGCGCTTTTGCGAGTGCCCTTTGAATCATAACATTTTTATTATCTGAAAGCGTTTTGAACCCTTCTAAGAGTTGATTTAGGATTGCTTATTTTCATGTAAGGTTTTGCTAAAAGTGCTTTTAATTAAAAAGACCAAAATTTTTTTATTGAAAATTCAAATGCTTTATGAAGTTGGATCTAATAGGTGATCCTCCATATGTGCTTTCAAATAAACATTTTTTGCCAAATTAAGGGGGGTATAGTCAAACTTTGATTTCATCAAAATCTGTAAGGAAGTATAGAGTACTAAAATATTTTGAAATCTATCACCTAAAAAAAGTACATTAAAATCTTCTGAAATCTAAATTAACAACCTCTTAAGTTAAAAGGGATTTCAATTGAGAGAAAATACTTTTAGTCCCTTCAAAAGTTGTCTAAACGCTTTTGCCGGTGCACTTCTCAAATCATTCTGAAAATGCTTTTAACTATTTAAAAAATACTGCATAACACAACCCTTTATTTCTTGCCACAATGTTAACGATAAACTAATAAAGTGCTCCCGTGGCGTGCAAGTGTGACCTAATCCCAAAAGGCTTTGCATAAATTTTAGAGAAGTGAGCACGTCTCATGGAGACTAGAAAGGACGCCACACCAACCATGAAACACTGAAAACGATTGGACCTAGCCCTATAGAAAATGGACGCATCGAGTAGGAGGACGAAACTAAACAACATGAATAACAAAATTTTATCCTACTAAATAAGATCGATTTATAAATTTTAAAACGTTACTCTACTCAATTTTGCACCAAATCTTCCCGAAAAAAAATACGAAGCTGTATAAAAAGTAGACGCATCGAATAGAAGGAGGAAGCTAAACACTAGAAACCAAAAAAAAAAGGAGGATCGGTGCACAAAGCCCCACCGATATGATTGGCTTTTATTGAAAAAAGCATTGGCCTTTGCTTTCTCCTCTTGATTCAACTTGACAATTGAATTGAAATTGGACGTTTTGTTTGTCGGTATTAGGCGACGCAAATTTATCCTCATCTGAAGTAACCATCAACTTATCTCATATGATCATATCCAACTCATGACACATTACAATATAAACCATATCTTCTTGCCATATGTGCGATCACCAGTTTTCCAGAGACTCGTTAGATATTTTTGAAATTTAAGTTTTTTATAGTATATATGTTTCATAATCCATGTCATCCTTAATCCTATTACTTTTAATTCCTAACACAAGTAATATCTGAGTTATTAAACTTTATGATTGAGGAAATTTTGTTATGTCACTAACTGCTAAGTTATGAATTTACTCAAGAGTCGAGAAAGAAGCATGAGTACTTGAATTGTTGGGGGATGTTTCCCTCAGTCAAAAAGCAAAAGGTACACAGAAATCATAATAACAATTGGAATACGCTTGTGTGAGCGATAATTGACTTTCTAACATTTGTAATTTGAAAAAATAAATGATGTCGTGACTGTGAGATTATGCAATTTTATCGGTTGTATACAGAAGAGTAACATACAAGATTTTATCATAATTGAAAATTAATTGTACACTAGTTTTGTATTATTCAATGTTCATTGTCAAAAAAGCAAAAAGTACATATAGTACGAGAATGGCAATTGGGACATGCCTATACGGACTACAAATCGATACCTAACAAATAACTCAAGTTTCAAGTTTCAAGTTTCTTCTTTACAAACCCTGTTATTGTCTAATGCACTGCACCTTTTTCACATTATTTCTACCAAAAAAGAAGCCCAATACACAAGCCAAAATTGTGTGTTTGTGTGGGAAAGAAACACATATATGTAACAGTAGTATTTCTAGAGATGGGGAAGAAAGAAGATAAGAGTGGATTAGAGAGGTCCACAAGCAAGAAATTATGAATTCGAAGTGTGCCTTACGTTAGCTAACACCATTGGTTTAGGTTACGATCATCCTTCAATCAACAACTTCCAAATATCAGAAAGTAGCCGCATTTATGAGAAGAGATTTTTCAGTGTGCCGTGTTCACGTGAGTGAGAAGATACATTCTTCAACCCTAACTATATATACTACAAGCTAACTTCATTACCAAGATTTCAAAACCACATTCACTTAAAAATTAATACTTAATTGTTCATCTATTGTTGAGAGCATTACAAGTCGATATCAATCAAGCCCAACAACAAATAATCGAGAACCAAAGTCATGGAGAGGAGGAAAGAGGAGTGCTATGAAGAAGAAAATTTAGATTACGGCATAGAGCCGCAGTCTGCGATGAAAAGGAAGAAGAACAAGAGCAAGAACACAAGGCGGTTTAGCGACGAACAAATCAGCTTGTTGGAGTCTATATTCGAAGCAGATTCGAAGCTCGAGCCAAGGAGGAAGGTGCAGTTGGCAAGAGAGCTTGGGCTGCAACCTCGCCAGGTTGCGATATGGTTTCAGAACAGAAGAGCTAGATGGAAGTCCAAACAGATAGAGCAAGACTACAGAAGTCTCAGAGAAGATTATGACAAGTTAGCATCTCGGTTCGAATCTTTGAAGGAGGAGAAGCAGTCTTTGCTTATGCAGGTAGAGTAACTAACCTTGTTCAACTTTTTACAATTCGAGAATCGAAAAAAATACCTGGCTCCTCTCATGTGAGAAGCCAATCATGTTTATAAATAAAATTACAGTTTGACATGCGTACATAAGCGGTTTTATTTGTCAGACTATGATTTGCAGTTACATGTAAGGAGGCAAACAATGTTCATGAAAGTGTATTCAAAATTTCTAGCTTGATAGTCAAAACTAAACATTTTTTGGGTTATTTTTATCAGTTGCAGAAGTTACACGATCTTGTGGGAACATCTCGTGCTGGCGCCCCTACCGAAGATTCTCTCGCAAATCAGACGGCAGATGGATCGAGTTACAAAGATGGGAATTGTAAGACTACTGCTCGAGTAAGACTAGAAGAGGCATTGGAGAAGACAGGAGCCATAGATAAACATACAAGCAATGATGTTGGTGGGGAGTTTGGAGATGAAAGGCACGAGCTTCTGAACATTGGTCAATTGGATGCCTCTGTGACACCTCTAGGATTGCATAGGTTGGATTCAGGCAACATTCTGTTTGATCGTTGTAATTCACACTGGTTAAATTTCTGGACCTGAAATTTCCAACACCCCCCCCCACTCAGCACATAAAAGTTTGGTGTAATTGGTGTCAAGATTTTGTCCTATAATCCATGTATTGAGGTCAACTAACAGCTTCTATCGACGTCAAACAGTAAGCGGACCGGACTATGCAGCAGCTTATTCTTCTGAGCTCAATACTTGTTGAGTTGTTGCATAATTTGGTTCGCTAATTGTTCTCAACAGACTATTCAAAGAGAGAAATCCATGCATGAGTGTATGTGTTTGTGTGTGTTGCAGGATCATAAGATTGTTCAAATATGACTTGAACGTCATGCCTTCTACACAAAGATAGGTATTAGGTTTACAAAACAGAGTCTTCTAGCCGCACTTAATTGCCAACCAGCAACATTAACGTTAAAACCAATCCTTTGAATCTTGTATATCCTACAAATCAGTACAATGAAGGTCTAGTTAAATTACGATTTAAAAGGATTTAAAAAAAAAATTTAATTACCAAAGTCAGACAAAAACCTTAGAATGTACGGAAGTGAATCCAACGAAAGGCAAAAGTTATATGCCCTAGCTTAGTCAAACTGGCTAGAGCAAGGTGCTCCATTAGCGGCATTTCATTCGAATCTTCGTACTGTTGTTTAGATTAATTTAGCGTAACTATCGCAAGGCAGAACACAAGAATAAAATATCATCATTTGTAGAATATAAAACCTACTGGAAAAGTAGAACAAATAGACAGTTTGGCCGAGTGGTCTAAGGCGCCAGATTTAGGCTCTGGTCCGGAAGGGCGTGGGTTCAAATCCCACAGCTGTCAAAACCCCGATTTGTTATTATTTTTTCGTTTTTCATTTGAGCCTTGTGGGCCCATTAGTAATTCACTTTCGCTATCCAAATCCTGACCACATACACAAAACATGATCACGCACTGGTTCCCCTCAGTTGTCTTCCCAAAGTGACTTGCAGAGGGTTAAAGGAACAAGATAGATTTAGGAAATCGAATGTAAAACGTCGGAAATAAATACTCTTAACCGCTTGAGCTGCAATTTTTTTGCTGAATCAATGGCTTGCTTAACCATAAAAGCCACAGCCTACTTCAGCTCCTCTTCAAGTGAGATTTACCTCCCTTCTTCTCCCTTCAAGCCCTTCAAGCTTCCTCCCTTCTGGCCATGGCAAAAGGTCTCTCTCTCTCTCTCTAGCATTTTGTACATGTACAAAGTGCCTAGCATAAAGCATGCTTTAGCTTGCAGGTGAAGGTGGGCCCACTGAGTGTGTCTCCAATGGGGTTTGGAACTTGGGCATGGGGCAACCAGCTGCTGTGGGGGTACCAGGAATCGATGGACAGTGAGCTCCAACAGACATTCAATCTGGCTGTCGACAACGGCATCAACCTTTTCGACACCGCTGACTCCTACGGCACCGGCAGGTTGAATGGAAAGAGTGAAAAGCTACTTGGAAAGTTCATCCGAGATTATCAAGGTCTGATCTTGCTATTCTTCTCAATTTTATCACTTAGTTTTGTAGTTGATTGGTACAGTGCTTTCTAATACTTAAAAGCGCTTCTGATACATCGTTTGGGATACAATGTACAAGTCTAATTTCTTGTACAAGTGCTTTTGAGCAAAAGCATTTTTTAGAGAAACAATCCCAAACGAGCCCTTAGGCCACCACCTAGACCTCAAAAGCGTAAGTACTTGTTTGGTACTGAGATGCTTTTATAAAAAGTGAGTATAAAAGAAAAGTTGGGCGCAAAAAGATGTTTAGTAAACACATAAAAACAGCTTATTTTCACAGTTTTGCATGAAAAAAAACTAAAAACGTGAAGCAGCAAAAATAAGTTTATTCTTATAGTACAGCATAATCAATATTTTTTTTTCAAAGTACAGCAATACCAAATCGGCCCTAAGTTGTTAAGGAATAAGCCAACGATGATATAAATTTTACACCCTTCCTTACGTGCAAATGACCAGTAGGGCAGAGACAAACATATAGATGCAGCCTCGCCCTACACTATACAGGGTTACATCCTTCAAAAACTTAAGTTGTCAGAGAATGAGCTAACAATGTAGAGATAGGGATGAGAATATTTTTCGTTGTTTGACGAAGAATTTCTGTTAGCCTAAAATAAAACAAATCTTCAGGGCAGAAGAGAGTGCAGAAGGACATCGTGATTGCTACCAAGTTTGCAGCCTACCCTTGGCGCCTAACACCAGGGCAGTTCGTGAATGCTTGCAAGTATACTTCTTTCACTCGACTTTTACGTCGCTTGTATTGTGTGTAACAACTCTGATTTCCCCAAGTTTACTATAATGCTGTTTCCAGTGCCTCGATTGATCGTATGCAGATCGAAAAAATTGGGATAGGACAGTTACATTGGTCAACTGCAAATTACAATCCTCTGCAAGAAGCAGCGCTTTGGGACGGGTTAGTTGCAATGTATGACAAGGTAAGCAAATGATTAAGGCGCCTTGTGCGTTCAAAGATGAATTTTCGAGACTAGCACGAAATGGTCATACTCATAGAGATGGTATCATGAAGGGTTTGGTTCGTGCTGTCGGGGTCAGCAACTATGGACCGAAGCAGCTTCTAAAGATACACGATTACCTAAAAGCTCGGGGAGTCCCGTTGTGTTCAGCTCAGGTATGCCATTGCTTGTAGAAGATATGAAGCCAAGCAGTTTCTAATGCACATGCTGGTGCACTGAAACTCTTTAATCTTATAGATAACACCCCGATTCTAGGTGCAATTTTCGTTGTTAAGCATCGGAGAAGATCAACTGGAGATCAAGAACATATGTGATTCTCTCGGCATCCGCCTGATTGCTTACAGCCCTCTAGGACTTGGAATGCTTACTGGGAAATACACGCCATCCAATCTACCACGCGGGCCTCGGTACGTGGTTTCTTCCTATCTCCTGAACCAAATCAGTAGACACTGTTTACAAATGCATCGGTGTTTCTGCAGATCGTTCCTATTCAGGCAAATTCTCCCAGGACTGGAACCCTTGTTGACTTCACTCAAAGAAATTGCACAAAAAAGGAGTAAAACCATACCACAAGTAATTCTACGTCTTGTTACCTGTTTCGATGCGGCTTACTTACGGCACAAGTAACGTAATTTGCAAGACTAAGCAAGATTTGAATTCTATTTGTAGGTTGCTATAAACTGGTGCATTTCCAAGGGGACCATTCCCATACCCGGAGTCAAGACCGTGAAACAAGCGGAAGAAAATCTGGGTGCTCTCGGTTGGCGCCTGAGTTCACAGGAGCTACTTCAGCTAGAAGATGCTGCGAGGGAGTCCCCTGGGAAGATGATCCAAAACATTTTCCAGACAAGGTGATCCAGATTCCAATTTTATGTTTGTTTCTCAGGAAAGGGAAAACAAAATGACGATCATCACCACATCGTGTTTAACATTGTCGGGTCTCCATTTATTTTCTCCTCCGTGAACAGATGAACAGAAGAAACGAGACCAATTATTTGCTTATGATGTAAAGAAACTGGGAATACGAACGTTACCTGCCAAATCATTGCACTTCTCCGAATGTCCTTACGAGGAGATGGAAGGAAAACAATTGCTACTGAAACACTTTCCATCCGATTCTTGGCACCGTTGTCTTGAGTAGAATCGGAGATTATGAATAACACAAAAAACATTGGAAGGGAAAATAGTTTTCATACACTAATCCATCTTTCATTCAACAAACAAAAATCAAAGTATGCATTAGCCATGTCAACGACTCGATATAGAGAGATTCAAACTTAATGAAAGCCATTTCTCATAATAAGTTCTAACAAAGTTTTAAAAGAAACGGCCAAAGACCTAAATGACCGGAAAAGACTTGACGTTCCGCTGTCTCGATTCCCAGTCTACTTGATCTTCTTCTTTGGCCTCAGCTGCATTAATAAAAGATAACACGAATAAAGAACAAAACTAAAACGGTAAAGGTTGAGAAGGTAGCAGGATCAAACAACCATCGATATTCAATCAGCTATATGAAGTACCTGGTTGCTGTGTCCACACTTCTTCTTCCTGCAGTTCACTGCACGGGGGTGCAGGCGGGCATAGCACCTGTTCACGAGCATTTATATATGTGAGATACAATGAGAATCAAAGAAAAGCAAAAGAACTCTCAAACTAAAGAAAGTTACACACTCAATCAAGTCAGACGAATGGTTTCGGTCTTCTTAAACTAAATCCAATATGACATTGGGATTTGGCAATGTAACTATGTTAGTACTCATCCACATTCTCTTTTCTAAATCCAAATCCCTTTACATAAAAGAACACATAGATTTTGTCTCGAAAGAGTTATATGAGATCAAAAGTGAAGATGCTAGCATCCAACAAAGTCAAAGTAGCGCAGTATGTTTAAACATTAGGAATATAACTAGAGAACCGAAGTAAATCTATATAAGAAAAGCTTAATCAGTTCTTCTACGAGAAACAGTAAAGTGGGAACTTACTTGCGGCAGATCATCTTTTCCTGGTTGTATTTCCTAGCCAATGCCATGAGAGACGGCTCAATAATCCCACCACGAAGCCTCAGAACCAAATGCAGAGTTGATTCTGAGAAAAATCAGATCAAAATAAACTTTCAACAAACAAAACATAAATAAACAGCAAGCACAGATGCACAAGTATTAACATACACAAAAAAAGTGCCAACGGCATGAATAAATTAGGCCATCAGTGGGTCCAAAACCGGCCTCGAGCCCTTCAACTATGGCTACTGTCAATTGGGCACTAAACTTATGACCGTAATCACATAGCAACAGGAAACATAATTCCCTCGATGAAATCTACAGATTTGGCTACTAAACTTCTGAAGGTGAAATGATCCAAACATAACCGCATAGCAACCGAAAACAGTCCGAAAAATCATTTTCCAAATTTATACTCTATATATATAAACATTGACATTTTAAGATTAAATTCAAAGGAAAACTAACGAAAAATAAAAAAAAACTTTAGCTTTAATGAAAAATGACAAATAAAAGGGTAGTAAATACTAAATAGTATCAAAGAAAAATACAAATGTGATGTGATTTTTCGTTAAAAATTTACAATACCGGGAGTGTTTACTTAAAACCCCCTAAATTCAAAGGAAAACTACTGAAAAACGCTTAAAAGCTTTGATTTTTAACTAGAATGACAAAATAAAGGATGGTGTAAATAGTACCAAGATTAATTTTTAACGTAAAAATATGATTTTTAGTTAAATTTCCTTAAATTCAATTATTCACAACCAAACATACCCAGCAGTTTCTGAGCAACCAAACAAGGGATACGAAAATGCTAACCTTTCTGGATGTTGTAGTCGGCGAGAGTACGGCCATCCTCAAGCTGCTTCCCGGCAAAAATGAGCCTCTGCTGATCCGGGGGAATACCTACACAACTGAAAACATTTAGCCGGCGAAATCATCACCGTCCAAATCGTACTACTTTGAATTCGAGCACGAAACTCGATCGCTGGAAAAATCTGAGAGATTAGATTACGGGTGGACGTGTTACCTTCCTTGTCCTGGATCTTGGCCTTGACGTTGTCGATGGTGTCGCTGGACTCCACCTCGAGGGTGATAGTCTTCCCTGTTAGGGTTTTCACGAAGATCTGCATCTTCTCCGGCTCTCTCTCTCTCTCTCTTCCTCTCCCGCAGTCTCTGTGTGTATATCTCTCGGCGGCGACGAGGCTGTTTTGCTCTTCGGTGGTTTATACTAGGGTTTTGCTGGTTGATGGGCTTTTCACCAAAAAATTATGAAGAACAAAATGATTTTAAAAAGTGGGCCTCGACCCAAAATGATTAAAGCATGGTTTTGCTTTACTTATACGAAAGAGCTTATGGTAAAATTGCTTTTATCATAAACATGTAAAAAAAAATTTAAAAATTTAAAATAAAAATTAATCACTTATTGAAAAACACTTATAAATCCTCTTCAATTTGGCGGGAAGTAATAACGAGCTGAACAAAAGGGCTTATGTCACAATTTAGGAGAAGTATTTTGAAAGTAGTTTTGACCTAGTTTGGCCGATGAAAGGGTTTTTTTTTTTTTTTTTTGTAATTTTTTTTTTTAAAGGGGGACAACTAGTGGCAAGTTACGGTTATCAAAGGTTCTAAAAATCGTCAAGCACTAGCCGGGCAGCGGACAGGGGCCTAACGCCTAGGCGACTAGACAAACGCTTAGGTGGCCTAGACGGATTTATGTAAATTTATTATATATCTTGTAAATAAGTGTCTATTTACACCCAAAAAAACTATACTTTTATGGATAATAAAAGAATGATAAAATGCAAAAAATAGAAGTGAAAGAATACACAAATTATATACATCCAAAAAGTTCAATATTTAAAAAACAGTAAGCATGTAATCATAATGAGGAGGATTTGGATGATAAACTAAATTCTTCTTGTTCATGAATCATGATCCTTGCATTGGATAGGACATAGACTAAATTATTTAACCTTGTTGTATCTAGTTTATTTCTTTTCTTTGTATGTATCCCCTCAAAAGTGCTCCAATTCGTTTCACTATTGGATGAACTTGTAGTAAATCCATCATTTGCAAATTAGGTACATCATTTCCATAAGTATACCACCATGAAACCAAAGAAGAAAAAAGCACACAATTAATAAAAATATATAAAAAAAACCGCCTAGCTCTAGACCGATTTTTCGAAATGATTTGCCCAAAATCGGGGTGAGCCTTCACCGCCTAGCCCCTAGGCACCGCTTAGGCCAATTTTTAGAACATTGCGGTTATCTACTCCTTTTAGGGACAGAGAAGACTCACAGAAAGTAGAAAAATGCTTTCTAGGTGAATGTGTGTTGTATTCAACATGCTTATAATAAAAAATAGCTCTAAAAATGTATATAAGGTTAAGATCTTCTTACAAAACCAATTTCAAATAACACTAACTCATATTCACATGTATCGTATCATATTGCTTCTTTTTAAGCGATAGAGTGTGGAAAAATAAAACTTTGTGCATGAACAAACATACAAAATTTTAAATTATAGAATATTACGAATATCTTAACCGTTTAATCTTAATTTTCATAGTTGTTAACAAAAATTTAATAATTAAAAAACTCTAAAGATCTCATACTTTGAAACACCATAAATGTGACATCCCACATCACCCAGGGGAGTGATCCTTAAATGTATATTCTCATCCCTACCTACCACGAGCCCTTTTGGGAGCTCACTGGCTTTGGGTTCCATGGGAACTCCGAAGTTAAGCGAGTAGCGCGCAAGAGCATTCCCAGGATGGGTGATCCATCGGAAAGTTCTCGTGTGAGTTCCCAGAAACAAAACTGTGAAAGCGTGGTCGGGGCTCAAAACGGACAATATCGTGCTACGATGGTGGAACGAGTCCGGAAAGTGATCCATCCTAGACCGGGATGTGACAATAAAAATCCTATAACCGCATTAACAATTGAATTACAAGCTTCTCACACCGGCGGGATCGGTTAATGTAGTAGCATATTTTCGGCATCCTTTAAAAAGAAAAAGTGATTCCAACAAAAGCATTTTCTAAATGAAGTACTTCCTACGAAAAGTATCCAACGGGCCCTAATTTATACCCACGAGTTCATTCGGTTTACGCCAAATTCAGTTAAACAGTTACCGACAAACTCCCGCCTACCGCACGCCCTAACGTTACCGAACTTCTTCACTGACCGTATGACTTTCGGGGCCCGGTCTGCCGTTTTCTCAGCCAGTAAGCCCGGGTGCGCAGTGCGCATGGCCTCCATATGCTCCCCGACCCGTCTTTCCCTCTCACTCCGCACGACTCTCTCCTCATTGCGCACATCTCGCGCGCCGGGAATCTCACTCCGATCGTCACCAATATCTCTATCCCTCTCGATTAAACCCGTTCGCTTGAATTTCAAGAACCCAGTTTCCGCATCATCTGCATCAGCAGAGATGGCGGGTCAGTGTCAGAAGAAGGTGGAGAAGTTTCAGACGGAGGAGGAAGTGGCGGTGCGTCTGGCGAAGTACACTGCCGACCTCTCGGCCAAGTTTGTGAAGGAGAGAGGAGCTTTCACCGTCGTTTTGTCCGGCGGCTCTCTCATTTACACGCTCAGGTCAGAAACAAAACCATCCTCAAGCGTTTCTCTTTTTTAATAATTTCGGATTGCTTTGTTTCTGCTTATGTATAAGCTTTTATCATGAACATGTAGAAATGTTTACTAATTCTTCAAGTGTTTACTCGAAAAGTATGTGCTGTTGGGCCTGCTTTTGTTGTAAGCACTTCTGATAGGAGTGATTTTACCATAAACATGCACAATTTTTTTGTTAATGCAAATGCTTTCTGGAAAAGTACGTGCTTTTGTTGCAAACACTTTTGTTAGAACTCGGGAGTGATTTTATCATATACATGTAGAAATATTTATTAATTCACGTGCTTACTCGAAAAGTACGTGCTTTTGCGCCTGCTGTATGTTAATTAAGCACTTCTGCTATATAAACGTGCAGAATTCTTTGTTAATTCAAGTGCTTGCTCGAAAAGTATGTGCTTTTAGTTTTTTCTGCCTGTTTAGAAGCGTTTTTGGTTGTCCGATAGCATGTTTGATTGTTTTGTTTACTCCTTTTTTATGTTTGTGGGTATTTTGTACGTTTGGATTTACAGGAAATTAGCGGAAGAGCCGTATAAGTATATGGTGGAATGGGAGAAATGGCATGTGTTCTGGGTGGATGAGAGAGTGGTGAAAAGAGATCACGCCGACAGTAACTATAAACTTGCTCTTGAAGGTTTACTCTGCAAGGTACAATTTTGTATGCGTTCTTCTGATTGTTGCGTTCAAGCACTAAATTGCTATGTTGCGTGTCAGAGCCATGAGTTTGGATTTTGGATTTTGGTAGGTACCGATTCCTCCTGGCCAGGTTTACGCCATTAACGACGCACTTCCAGCCGAGGGAGCAGCTGAGGATTACGAAACCTGTCTTAAACATTTGGTTGAGCGCAATGTGATTGCCACTTCAAAAGCTACTGGATTTCCAAAGTTTGATCTCATGCTTCTGGGTATGGGGCCAGATGGACATCTTGCTTCTCTATTCCCTGGCCATCCGCTTTGCAACGAGAAGACGAAATGGGTGACTCACATTACGGACTCACCAAAACCACCTCCAGAGAGGATTACATTTACCTTCCCGGTGATCAACTCCGCTGCATATAATGCAATGGTGGTGACAGGTGATGATAAAGCTGATGCCGTGCAGAGAGCGCTAGGAAATAGTCAGCATCCTGATACTTTGCCTGTTCAGTCGCTTGCAGCCGAAGACGAGTTAACTTGGTTTTTAGACCAGGGCGCAGCTTCCAAGCTGTAGGAGCAGAATGTCGATGGCTTTGCAATTCGTTGCACTTGCATCCGATGTTTTTTACTATATACATGTCGATGTTAACCTGTTTGTGTTCTTTAATTTGGGCAGGAATCACTGTGATTCACTGCTTACACAACCTTCTTTGCGGGTTGCTTAACAACCATATTTCAATAAATTACAAATGATTGTGTTCTTTGTTTCGCCTCAAGGGGATGCATGGTTGAATAATCAAACAACTCTATTAAAATTTCTCTCATGAAAATGAGCTATAACGTTTTTATTCCAGTTGCGGTTGCATGAAAGTTTTCCTAAATCTCAAGAATCAAGGCAATTGGGTGTTTGAATCCCCAAAACCCGCAAAATCCTCTCCACCCCAAGCCCAATCAGTCGGGCTACAATGGAAGGAAGCAGAGAACATGGCGGATTGTAATTTCGGATAATAACACGTGACGTGACAAAATTAGTTAAAAGTCTTATCTGAAATTAAAGTAATATTATTTTTAATAATTTTTTAATGCCAATTGCCTGGGCAATTCATTTACGGGATAGAAATGGATAGAGATGCACTTAAACAATTATTATTTATTAAGGTAAAAATTGTTTTGTTAATTGTCCTTGCCCAATTGACGGACAATTATTGCCTTAGTTGGGTGAAAGTGCTCTTATCAATGCAAGTATCAGCGGGTTGTTTGCTTGTTTAAGCAAATCTATAGAAATTTATGAAACCAATGCCTGAGTTTGAGCACATGACTAGGAAGGAGCACCCTCCCTCCTTGTCCTTGTAGACGAGTACAGATCCTCTCCGGATATGAAAAAATGAAGACTAAAGATTAAATGATTCAGACCGTTGAAATTTGATCAAAAGGCTATAAATAAGGGGTTCCTCTAAAAGTTATAATAATTGTTGCCGTTATATGAAATTTCAATGGTTCGGATTATTTGATCATTTGGCTCCCTTTTTTTAGATCTGGGGAGGATTTGTACTCCTTGCAAACAATCATCCACTTGCTTAATTTTGTTTAGTTTAATCGAGTATGTACATTGTATGGTGTTCGTTCATACGAGTGACGTAATTAATAAGTTCGATGAAAGTGTAAACTTTTGTATCTTTCCATTTCCGTCCAACCAAAAACTGACTTGGGTTTCTAAACTTTGCATTCAAGTCCTCAAAGATTTCGTCTTTATTTACTCCCAATCAAATCTTTCAAGCAATGGAATGGACAGATGCAATTCGCCCAAGAAAGATAACTAAAGGATGACCCAAGCTAACAAGACTTCTTTCTTTGCAAGATCGAGGGAAAAATGTTTATCGTACGTAGTTTTATTTTTATTTTGCAAATATATTGTTTTCACAACTCGAACTGATGATCTTTCGGTTACAATTAAAAAAACAATATTTCAGTTACGTCAAGACTCGTCCCCTCCAAGAAGATAACTATTATATTTTATGAAATAACATTTCGGTTGCGCCAAAACTCACATTCTTCAAGAAGATAACTAATATATGTTATTAAACCAGAAACAGAGCTTTTGCTCATGTTCATGTTAACATGGCACAAACGGTAGTCTAAAATAACTAGTTTTCTCTCTTTGGCTTTGGTGTTGGTGTTGGGATCTACTAAGCACAAAAAAAGCTCATTGATCCTCCAAACCAAGAAGAGCACACTTTCAAGTATAAAACCATTGTGATTATGTATATTAGCTGTTGAATAAGTTCTGAAGGAGGAGAAAAACTTTGCAGAAAGTCCGACTGACTGGATGATTAGTCGTTCTTATTAAAAAAGATTCATTATATTTGGATACCATCTATTTACGGATAAGGATTGTCTGCCCTCCCACTTCTGATACCCTTCCGTACCCTCTTGTTTTGTGTGGTCACGGTTAAGCCACGTTAAACATTTTATATTGTTTTTTATAGAGATAATAAGATAAAAATAAATTGTAATATAAAATGTTGATGTGATTTAAATGTGACCACATAAACAAAAGAACATGAAAGAACACCATAAATGAGAGGACAAACAAGCATTTTCCTCTATTTACATGTTGGTACGACTTTTAATAAGACTGTGCAACCCCATATGATGCATGCTTTAAGAAACAGCAGATTGATGGAACCTGCATATTCTACATCAGCAGGTATGAACCGGTTGTCCCATGGCCACACTTTGAAGGGTTTTTCCTGTTAATCGGATATTTCTTTACATTTCACGTTATATCTTTCTCTTCACGTTACACGTCGATTCCAATTAAAATATTTTCCTCGTTTCGCGTCTCGAACAAAATGATTTACGATCTCTTTCACGATAATGATAGGTGATAGAAAAAGAGTTCAAAGTGTAGGCCATAAAACTTCCAAAGGGCCCGACCCCCTGCGTAAGATCATCATTTTGCATCCGTTTTTTTTTTTTTTTTATGTAACTTGTATATTATCACATAAAAAAGTAGAAAAAGAGTTATTGTAAGAAGAAAAGAAATAGAAAAATAGCACTAATTATATAAAGGATAGTAAAAGGAGAAAAAGAAGATATTTTCTTTTCTTTCACAGGAATATTTTTGTTCATCATCCGCAGGTGATGATGATAATGATGATTACTATTCTATTTATCATTGTTAGATAAATTAAAATTTCAAAATTTATGTAGTAAATACATAGAATTCTCAAATTTAAATTCATCAAATAAATAGTGTTGTGAGCATTAACACCATTTTAAGATGGTGAACAAAAATACAGCATTCTTTTACCAAGTCAAAAGCACTTGGGCCGATTTTGTTGACTATAAGGCGTGTTGATAATCACTTTTCTTGTTAAATGACTTTTCTTGTTAGTTAACAATTTGCCAAAGTTTGCACAAACAACAAAATTAGTAGGGCAGATTTTGAGAGCTCTCTCTATCTAAATGCGCATAACATGATGATTAATTAAGTAAAGTGTCACACCACTATGTCTTAATCGTTAATTTAAGAAATTAATCATGCCTAATCAACCCAGTCAAACTGGATTAGACCCTTTTTAAATATGTTTAAGGAAAAAGCAATTGTGCTAAAGTTAGAGAAAAATATACAGTACTCAAGGGTATTGAATACCCCACTAGTTAGAGTTCTTAGGTCCAATTCAAAGATCATTCATCTGTTTAATTAGGGCTAAGGATTTTACATGACAGAGTTTTCACAATTTTGAAGTATTATAACCTCTCACAAAGTTAATTAATTATTTATTTTAGCATGAAAGTAGTATTAATAAGTTAAGCATGCTGATTGCTCAGGAGGTCAAGTAATTAAAGGGAGTAGTTGTATTAGTGTAATTATGGAGGAAGAAGAGGAGGGATGAGGATCTTTGTGAAAATCTTAGAATCCTTATATCATGATCGTTCATCTTACAGTTATTTTTTGTTGAGTATTATTTTTGTTTAATTTTAAATAAAAAAATTCAAAATGATGCATAGTTACATGACGTACGATAGACGACTAGGATGTAAAAATCCCTAAAATTCCCACAATTTGAATCTGGATGAGATCCAAATCCGTAGAGGAGGAGGCAAGAAGCAAGCACTCAATGAGAAATGACATTGGAGTTTGGTGAACTTGCCAACTAAAATCAAGGCTCTATTAAACCTACCAAACTTCACACATCCCTCAATCTGCATAAAAGCTCTGATTTTCAATTTTCCTTTTTCTCCAAACTCCAAACAATAGGAGATAATTGTATGGACCTAGCTTTTCTGCCCTCCCAGTTCTCATATACTCTCATTCCTTCCTATTTGTACGGTCACGGTTAAGTCACGTCAATATTTTATATCATTATTGATTTTTGTCTTATTATCTCTATAAAAAAATCAATATAAAATGTTGATGTGACTTAACCGTGACCGTACAAAATAGGAGGGGATGAGAATGTATGGGAACTGGGAGGGCAAATAAGCCAGGTCCTAAATGTATATCATTATGTGTAAGCGTTTTTTGGTCAAACAAACGCATTTAGTTATTCAAGAAGCGGTTCAAACAAACAATTAACTAAGAAAATGACATATGCGCTCATTTTCTCTTTTTACACTATCTTGTTTTATCTGGATGTTGAATTAAATAAACTAAAAAAAGAAGAAAATCAAAGTGCATATATCATTCATTTCCTATTAATTAAGAAAGAAGCAATATCATGCATCTAATTGACTAATTGCCCATCTCACATGATTTGGCTGATTAGTCATATAATCCCTACATATAATAAAGTGCAAAGAAACATAATACATTTAACAAACATAAAAGTTTGACATCAGTATACAATATCCTGGTTAAACAATAAAATTAGGAAATGCTTGACCTAGAATTAGTGGGCTAATAGAAAATTAGGGATTGTGGTTACGACTTTCGAGTTCAAAATTTTTCGTATTCATTTTATGTATGATCTCTCTATAACTTTTATAATTAATCGACACATGTTAATAAACTTAATCCTTCTTAACTTTGATTGTCGTAAATATAACACGTTTTAATTAATAATAAATATTACAAAGAGAAAAATCATATTTTTACACTAAAAAATCAATATTGATATTATTTATTTTACCTTTTATTTTATCGTTATTGTTAAAATTCAAAATTTTTAAATCATTTCCATTAGATTTATTCGATTTTGATTTTATGTTTTCACACTTTTTTTTTTTTCAACCTTCCACTTGACGCTCTTTCTCACTCTTTATAAAAATGGGGTCTACTCTCCTACTCTCTAGACTCTAGAGAGAGATAGACTCAGTCCCTAGTGAGAGAGAGAGAGACAAAGAAGACGACTTCCAAAGTAAAAGAAAGCAAAAAGCAAATCAAAGCAGTTGCCTTTGCCATTCAATTCATTCATTCACTCTTGCAGTTCTTCAATTGGGAGTAAAATTATTAAATTTTAATTCCCAATTAATCCCAACCTCCTCCTGCTCTTGCTCTCCCACCAGATGCAGCAGATCACAAGGGCATTTCTGTCGTTTACAACCCTACTCACATGATCCCCTCCGGTTCCGGGAACGCCTTCATCTCCGGCGGAGGCGGGTTATGGTCGGCGGCACCGTCGTACGTTGCCGTCGGCGTCACGGCCTTGGCTGGGCTCGCGGTGGTCGTGGCCGTGTTCTGCACTGCCACTAGGTAAACAAAGCTTTGAAATTTCTCAAAAAAGCTCTGAAATTTCTTGAAGAACGCAAACCCTAGAACAAAAATTCACTGATAGATGAGAGCTCTACGACGAACTCAGACTTCCTCGTCACCTTCAAGCTCGAATTCATCTCATTCTTCGTCTTCGCTGTCGTCGTCTTCGTCGTCTTCGTGGATTTATTTGCGTTCGGTTCTGTTAATCGTGTCCTCTTCCTCACCAGCTTATTGTTCTTCCTCTGATCGGTGAGTCTCTCTCTCTCTCTCTCTCTCTCTCTCTAAAGCTTTTGTTTTCGGTAATTTCAGCTATTAGATCCCGATCTCGGGAAGCTTCAAGTTCATGTTTTTAGTACCAATTTTAGCTCAGTTCCACTGTTTTAATGGCGTTTTCGCTTCGATCCCTTCTTTCGGGTCACCTTCTTCATTCGCATTTTGGTCCTCCTTGGAAATTGTTACTCTTTCAGTTGCTTAAAAAATTGTGGGTTCGATGTATTGGGCAAGCCGCATTGGTTGTTTCTTTTGCGCATCGATTTGCTTCTGGATGATTTATGTTGTTTTTGTGTTGTGGTTCTAGTAAAGTTAGGATTTTTATATTTTAATATTGTAAGTTTTTGAATTTTGTATATGAAGCTGCCATTGAGCAACAATGCTGTGGTTTAATAAGTCAAAGATTGATAAACCCGAATCGATGTTAGCTTTTACTAATCTTCTCAACAGTTAGATGGATTGAAATGTTTTGGATATTCAAAGTCAATTAATTAAGCTGCAAAGCTATTGCATTTATCTGTAGTTTAACTTTAATCCTTGTTGATAATTTGCTTTGACTTGGCCCTTCGAGTGCATGCTTATTTAGAATATCCGGACTTTTCAAGCGTTCTAATTTGGTTTTCGTTTACTGCCAGACCCTTTCTTTTATATGAAAGGTTCAAACTTTGAGATGTTTTTATTGGCCTGACATTTTCAATCATTCATACATTGATATTTTTCGTATAGCTGATGCTTCCTTAATCTTACCATTACTAATTGCACTTATTGTTTTATTTTCAGGGTTCGCCTTAAGTCACCTTGGTCCCGCAGGAAAAGAAAACATGCCCTTTCAGCTCAGCAATGGAGGCTATTCTTTACACCAGATGGAAAGCTTCGTGATGGTGGAGTTAAGTTGGTGAAGAAAGTTCGCAGTGGAGTGAGTTTCTGTCACTTTCGTGTTATATATTTGCTATCAAAACGCCGTAACATCTATTCATGGTTCCAACTTCCATCATTGACATTATTCATCTTAAAATTTTGTGAATGCAGGGTGTTGATCCAAGTATTAGGGCAGAAGTTTGGCCATTTCTCCTTGGAGTGTAAGCATGCTCAACACCTCTTTTTAAGTTTTTAACTGAAACATTGCTACATTAATACCTTGTATCTCCGAGAAGAACTTGTTATGTGATATTTTGGCTTCCAACATCAGGTGTTTTGGTGTATCATTCCTGGCAGAGGATTGTATGCTCTTTCTCTCCTATTAGTCTGAGTCATTGCTTCGAGACATGTCATTAGGTCCAAATCAAACATACTGACTGCAAGATATATGAGCTTTTATTTAGGTCTGGTTAGAGAAGCTCATTTTAGGCATTAGACCTGGCATTTCTGCTTTTGAACACTCCGCTGCATAATCAATGTGGAGTCAAAGTTTCAGAAAAGTGTTGCCTTTTTTTTTTCCTCCATGTAAGAAGAGTAATGCGATTCCTTCTGAATTGATAGCATGAGTTTTGGAAATAAAATCTGCAAGTATACCTTGGTCAAAACTTAAATTATTCCTGTGATTATGTCTTATAATGCCATTATCATGTTCATATATGACCATCGTACTGATTCCTGTTCTGCATATACATTAAAATGTTGTTTTGTTTCGGGAAGTGCAAAACCATACTTACATATGTTGACTGGATTTTTCTGTCTTGACTCTCAACAGCTATGAATTAAACAGTTCAAAGGAAGAAAGGGAGATAGTACGATCTCAGAAAAGGTAATAGTGCCAAGTTCATCTAGTTCTTTTGTAGCTTCATATTGCATAAGTTGACTGAAGCTTTTTCCAGTTTGAGTAATATTTTTTATTATCCATTGGCTGTTGTAACTTTATGGTGCATTGTTCGAATATTTGGTTGCAGAAAGGAATATGAGAAACTCCGTAGACAGTGCCGCCGACTCATAAAGCGCGAAAATGATAGCTCTAAGTTGAATGGGGACAGTAGTAGCTTCACCCATGATACAGGTTCTCCCAGCTCCGAGGATGCGGTTAGCGCCAGGGAATCCCTTTCTAGTGAAGATAAGATACCAGATGTTGAATACTCAGATGACCCTTCCAGTACATTGTTGGATGGAGATGATGATGGTTCAAGAGAAAACACAAATGCTGATTCCAAAGCAATAAACTCTGACTTGTCTGACTCGGACTCCTCTGAAGAACCTGAGGTGATTCAGGCTTTCCCCTCATGTGAAGGGAGGGAAGAAAATGATCCTGATGTGACTTCCAAGGATGAATCTTCTCCCTTGAGGACCGAGGTCCAATCAAATCTAAACAGTGAGGATTTTGCCACATGGCAGCGGATCATACGCCTTGATGCAGTACGAACTAATTCGGATTGGATTCCGCACTCCCCATCTCAAGCTGAAGTGTCACAGGATAGGGCATCACGTTCGGCTGAGGCTGTTGGGTTGAAAGATTACAGTCACTTGGAGCCTTGCAGAATTTTCCATGCTGCTAGACTAGTTGCTATTCTTGAAGCATATGCACTCTATGACCCCGAAATTGGTTACTGCCAGGGCATGAGTGACCTGCTTTCTCCTATAGCTGCTGTAATAACAGAGGATCACGAGGCTTTCTGGTGTTTTGTCGGTTTCATGAAGAAGGCTCGACATAATTTTAGGCTTGACGAGGTAGGGATCCAAAGGCAGTTGAGTATCGTTTCTAAAATTATCAAATGCAAGGACTCCCACCTATACAGGCACTTGGAGAAGCTCCAGGCGGAGGATTGCTTTTTCGTTTATAGGATGGTGGTTGTGCTATTTAGGAGGGAGTTGACTTTCGAACAGACAGTATGCCTATGGGAGGTAATGTGGGCCGATCAAGCAGCCATTAGGGCAGGTATCGGAAAATCTGCATGGAGCAGGATAAGGCAACGAGCCCCACCAACAGACGATCTGTTACTCTTTGCCATCGCAGCTTCTGTATTGCAGAAGAGGAAGCTGATAATCGAGAAGTACAGCAGCATGGATGAGATTATCCGGGAGTGCAATAGCATCTCGGGGCAACTTGATATATGGAAGCTCCTGGACGATGCACATGACCTGGTAGTAAACCTCCATGACAAGATAGAGACGTCTTTCTCATGACTGCATATTTCGGTAGCATGGTTCGTTCTTATGGTTCATTCTCGGCATCCTGTTATTCGGAGCATCCAAATTCCTCATTCCTTCCTTCCCCTTTCACAACATAAGCACTTCGGGAGCTCACTCCGACCAGACTATCTTCAAGCTTGCTTAAAAGTGGCGGTGTCAAAACTTTCGAACGATTAATTATTCAGATTTACCTGCATTGTATTCTGCTCTGTTCTTACCGCGCGATTCCACGATTTGCAGGTAAAACTACTGTATTAGCATTTACCATTTATCCGTTAATGTAACCATACTCCCATACTGGATGAGGAACACATGAAATTGTCCAATTAGAAATAATACCCCTCTCCCACATAGGCCCTCGCAGTTCAGTGTTCCTCCGGTGGTTAGTTATGTAAATTATGATCTAGTTGGGGCTATTTTCATCCCTTTTGTGCAATACGAGCCTTTGGATTGCTCCAGTTTCGTCAAGTTTCGATCCCTTAAAAAATGGATTCGGTCAGTAGGAAAGTCATACCAAACATTGAATTATATATAAAACCTCGCCGGAAAAACAACGCAACCAAAAGTCCAATATTTGGACGTCACACAAAAGTCGCATCATTGAAAGACATATCACTAAACATTGAATCTTTATGTGTGTGTGTGTATATATATAAGGGAGAAGGAGAAAATGGTGAAACATACGTAATCCTAAAATTACCTTCTCCATTAAATTTTTAAATAAAATAAGAAATTCATAAAAAATGTTTTTTTTTATTAGCATCCCATATAAGGTTGAATACACCTCGCATTAAAATTTGATATCAAATGACTTATATACCTTACCATATAATGATAATTTTGACCTCACAAAGTTAAAAAAATAAATAAATAAATAAATACACCCGAAATCGTTTTTTACATATATCCCAAGATTATTTATTTTCTTCAACCCTTAAAATCACTCTCCCTCTCCATTTCAGAACAAACCGTAATCAATAAAACTACAAACACATTGATTAAACAAAATTATTTTTGACGAAACATGATATCAACGTTTCTGAAGCTTCACATGATGCGAAGGTTTCATTTTTTTATAATTATTTTAGCGATTTCAATGACATCGGCATGCCTATAAATTGATATCTCTTGAACAAAGTTTGGTCAATTTTCTACATAAATTCTGCCTTTTTGAAACTGGTTTCATTGTTTTGTGATTATACAGAAGTAAAAAATAAAATATGTATTTGCACCTAAGACGTGAAACGGGTGGGGTTTATGTAGAAAAGTGTCGGGTGTAAGTAGAAAATGTAGAGTGCATATAGAAATGTGGGATGTATGTAAAAAAATGTGGTGTGTATTTTGAAAGTGTGGGGTGTGAGGGTATTATGGTGAAGTATGTGGGGTGTATTAACATAAATTTTAAATAAAAAAGCAAGTGTGAGGTGTATTAAGTATGTGGGGTATATTCAATAATATGTGAGATGTTAATAAAACAAGCCTAAAAAAAAATCCACTCCCGTTACTAACTTTATTTTTATTTTTTAAATATATTATTATTTGTTTTTTCAAATAAAAATTTAAAAGTGCCAATTGCCACACGCTTACGTATGTGGCCAAAGACTAGTATACATAAAGTGAGAATGCAAAAGAGGTAAAACATTCAAAATACCAAAAAATACCCCTCCCTAATTAAAAATTCCAGAACAAAACAATTTAATTAACAATGGTGAAATAGTAAAACTATATCACTTCGAAAATTTCAAGCAAAGCACCCACTATGTGGGTAGTTACTTGATAAAATTAATATTACTATATTTGACAAAAACATAATAAATAAAAAAATAATGATACATAAACATAATAAATAAAAAAAGTCAATTAGCAGGAGCTAGTTATATATAAAAGCTCGCGAAAATAAAAAAACAACGCAAAGCCGAAAGTCTACAACCGCCCCTTACAAACTAGAAAGTTCTTAGTCATCGCCGTCTCACTCTTAGTCGTCGACGCCGGTGACAGGCCTTCCAATTGTGTTTTTATTTTTATTTTTTAATGAAACTATCTTGAAAATATTATTTTTCTTCATGACTCATTTATGCCCAAACTCATTTACGGCCAAACGTAAGAGTTTCTCTAAGTCAATGAATTCTTTTAAAATACTATTTTCTTGAATATTAGTAAAAAAACAATTTGGATGGCCTAGTATTTCACCAATTAGTAAACCAAGATTTCAGACTTTTATTAAATGAGAGAGATCCACTGCAAGATATAGAAGGGAAATGCATACTTTATATTTTGCCATTTTTTCGTTTGTGAATTTTTAATTTTTTAATGAGCGCACCTTATTCGTCGACTCTATACGATACTAATATTTCTATCAAACATAAGTTTTATTACAAGTCATCGATGTATTTTCGGAATTTCCAAGTATTTATTATTATGTACCCTAAAAGTTGGCTATGCGTTAGGTTTGATAATTTTTTGCATGATTTGTTTATTCAACATTAAATGAAATGAAAATAACAAGTTTCGGATCAACATGTTAACGAGCTGGGTCGGTATCGGGTCACCTATTAAAAATTCTTTAATGAGTCAGGTCATTATCGGGTCACGTGTTAAAAACCCAATAAGGATGTTGTTTGCCAAATTTAGACATTATACATGACAATTTTTTGCATGACTCGTTATTTGACACCAAACGACACATCCCATTAACAAATCAAATAGTTATCGGATCACCTGTTAAGAACCAAGTAAGATAACAGTTTTGACACAACCCGTTAAGATAATGAATATGACAAAAAATCAACACGAACACAATAAACATGACTCGTATTGCCAGGCCTACTATGTGCATTGCAGGTGATGGATTTAATGAAGGGAACTTTAACGAAAAGTTCCTGATACTATTTATTTTAACAAAAAACCACATTTTTACACTAAAAAATCAATCATGGTACCATTCACTTTATTATTTATTTTGTTCTTATCGTTAAAACTAAAAATTTTTAAGCTCATTTCATCAATTTTTCTTTTAACGAAAGATTGAGATCATTGAACGTTCGAAGGACAGTGTGAAACACCGTTCACAGAGGAGGCTGGCTAAATGTATTTTGGTCAAAGATGTAGATAATTCTACCCTGATGCACGAGGGTCCAGGACCACGAGATAAAACGCATCCACAGAAGAGGTAAAACGTCAAAAAATAAAAACCTGCGACATGGACACCAGCACAGCACGGGTTTCAAATGCAGCACACAACAATTGCCTTTCTCAGATCAGCAACAACTAACGGACGAGGAATTCATATGGAAATAATAAGAAGCAAAATCCTTTAATTTTAGATCAACCATTGTACAATCTGTCAATCACCTTCTAACCAAACAGACGCTAGAAACCGGTCGACCGGCGCTCGGATGAACAATGACATAAACCAAGAACGACATAACTGAAACGAGCAATTGTGAATTTCAACTACTCAACCTGGTCTACGTCAAATAACTAAACCTTATGAGTGGACATAATGAAATAGAAAGACTCTACTCTTTCTTGGTATAGTTACGGACAGCAAAGGCCAACCCCAAGATAAAAAGGGGAACCAGAAACTGTAAAATCTTGATCGCGAAATCGGATGTCTTGGCAGGATTGTTTTGACCCCCTTGTGCCGGGATGGAAATCTTATTCAATGGGATAGTTGATGGATCAATCTCACCAATGTAGTACTTCTCCATCATATCCCTGGCTGAATCACTGTGACCAACGTCTTCGAAATCATTTGTTGCATCTTTCGCTATAGTTTTCAAAAAAAATTAGCCTCATAAACCCTACTGGCTTGAAGGTTGAAAATAAAAGGATATACGTAGTAATCGAAGGCCTTACCAGTTGCAGCTAGCAGAACTTCACCGCCTCCGGGATGATCATCCATGAATGGCGTCAAATCATACACCTGAAAATTGATATTCCAAACCATCGATAAATCAGCCTATTCTTCTAACTATCAAATTTTTTGGTGCAGCTAGCAGATTTTGTTTCAAGTGTGAGATCTAAACTTCACACAATCATCGACCGAGAAATTAGTTGCTTTATGTTTGTACAAATGAGACCTTAAAACACCAGGAAGTGATTTTCGCACTCCGGTTTTCCCCTATGCGCTCACTCTTTTCTAGTCAATGGATTGCATAAATCGAAATCAAATCAAGGGACAGATACAACGGGAGGACTGAGGAGTGAGAGTGTGGCAAACAGGAGCACAGTGACATGCAGAAACATAATAGTCAAATTCTGGGTTGAGTCCTTGAGGGTTATTTTCTCATATTCCTAGATTTTCTCAGCAACCAAAGGATAAATCAATCAATCAATCAACTGGGAACTCAAGTTTACAGTACGACAATCAAATATCCAACTCAAGATAAAGATCTGACCTTCCCAGCAATAACAACCCAGCAATCTTCGTTCTTGTTGTGCTTTGCCACCTCTTGGAATACGTGAACTTTTCGATCAGAAGCCATCTTTCACTGCCACCATACAAAAATCACCGAAAACGTTAAAACTTACTAAAACTCACCCATCCAATCCTCGAAATTTAGACAGAAACAGCTTCTGCCAATCACAGAAAACAAAATTCTGATATACCAATTAAAGCCCACAAAAATGTATGCACCAAAGCCTCGAAATTTCAACAAAAACAGCTTCAACCAATCCCAGAAAACAAAATTTGAAATACCAATTAAATTAAAACCCACAAAAGTTATGCACCAAAGCCTTGAAATTTCAATAAAAAACAGTTTCCACCAATCACAGAAAACAAAATTTTGAAACACCCATTAAAGCCCATGAAGCTTTAAGCACAAAATCTAAAATAAAACTGATAAGAGAGAAATTGTGAATTGAAGAGCAAAGATTGATGAACAATTGGGACTTACCCGCCGAGAGAGAAAGGCTTTGCGAGATGGACTCTGCTGCTTTGTTTTCTCAGAGTGGAAAGTAAATTTGCTCAAGCGGCCATTTATGGACGATACCTTGTCAAAATGCCCTTCGAATTTAGGAATATTACGCACTTGTTATGAATAAATTTTTGAGGCTTTTTAAATTTTAAAGGGTAAACATGTCTCCCAACTGCGAACTCGAAACGGCACCTCCACCAGGGGGAACTATCCCTTTCAACCGCAAAAAATTCGGAACATTAAAATTTGATCCAACAATTAATAAAATAGTCTATTAAAATTTATAGTAACTTTATTTGTTTGATTAAATTTTAAGAATTTGGATTTTTTTTTCAGTTGGCTCAAGTGGAAAGGATCCGAAGATGATCCATTTCCCACCTGGCCGGATCCCTTTCCCACCTGAGGATCCAACTGCCAACCAAAATTTATCCGTGCCAGGAACACAGTTGGATTTTTCAACAAAGATAAATCTCATTCCTATTAAAAAGATATATAAATAATATTACAAATATATGATAAAAATAATTTTTATTTTATTTTATATTAAGCCTAAAAAAATAAATATTCAAGTGGACACATGGGACCCACATGTGGGTTACGTCTTCAAATTAGCAATTTTTTTTAAGAAAGGTAACGACTAAGACCACTTATGCACATTTTATTGTATTCAGCAAAATAAATTATTAGAATTTTAATTTAGGAACGGTTTCTAAACTCGAGTACAAATTGGGAGATGAATTCTAGATTTTGCCATTTCTTGAAAACGCCGATTAATTTAATTAAAATTCAGCGAAATAAATTAATGGTGGGCCGAGACCCAACAGACCCAACAAACAAGAGATAAACCGAAGGGTCGGACACAACTATGTGGGCCTTTAAGTTGAGCTACTACAATGGTGGATGGAGGGGTCGGACACAACTATCTGGGCCTTAAGTTGACTTTATTTACGTCTTTGATCCAGGCGGTTATGGGCTGATTGGACTCGCATTTTGGGGTTTGTGAAATTTAGAGTTTCGGGTTGAGAATCTATTTTCTGGTTAAGGAAATTCTTTCTTACACATTGTTTTTCACGAGTAAACTGTTGAAATTTAACCAAATGAGATATGGTAATGTCATAGGAAGTGTTGGAAATATTGGAAGAGAATGATGATGTCGAAAATAAGGGACAGAGGTGACAAGGCGCTAGGAGACATGCAACGACGTCACAAGTACATTGAACGATTGAATATGATTTTGCACTATAGTCTAATATTGCATTGCTATGTGGAGATTAACTTGCACATGACAGTGTATTATTGGCCAATTATGTTGATAGTCAAGCATCTGAAGTAGAAATGTAATGTCATGTTTATGTTGATCCACGAAGTGATGTTTTGTCCATGTGTGGTCGAATAAGGTTATTGACATCACCTCGACGTGTTTCTGAAACTGAGCTAGAAACTCCATCTGCAACTGTATGCAACATAAGGGTGTTTCAAACCCCTTTCAAGCCCGTATTTCACACGGCACGTTTTGGGTTCGATTCTTAACGCTAGTGAATCACATGATGGTGGCTAGAAGAGGCTAAAATGTCTACGTGAGTCTTCCCAGCCCCCGAAAAAGTAGACAAAAAAAAAACCCTTCCAATTTTTAGTCCAATTAAAATGTTTTATGCTTTTCCTTACGTTTTATAGTATAGTTCTAGACACACGAAAAACGTTTTTAGTGCAAGCATTGTTATTAAAAACACAATAAATATTCTATAAAACTCGAAAATACTTTGTAAAGAAGCGTAACGCTTCGCTGTAAAGCATTAAAAAAAAAAAAAGTTGCGATGGCTTTGCCAAACTTGCCATATACATTTTCGATTATCTTACACTGAATCTAGTCATTCGAAATGCAATGTCAAACAAGCCCTTGTCCCTTTCCTTCGAAATGCAATGTCAAACAAGCCCTTGTCCCTTTCCATAGTGAGTGGAAGCAATGTAATGCCAATAGGGGTTGAAAAATCAGCCTACCGCCTGCCTAGTGCCTAGAAAAGTTGAAGTTGAACCAAAGTTAAGGCGTGCAGCAACTTCTTCCACACCAGAAGAACTATATCACTGCCATTGACACACATCGGTGGTGGTCCAAAAATGGATGTCTGCCCTGCTCTCAACTCTGAAACAACTACCTTAATTTCTCCTAGGTCCTTACAAACAACTTCATTTACTACTTCCATACCCCAACTTCTAGGCGTTGAATATATATATAGGACCACTTCCCCCATCATATCTGATGTAAGCTTCTAAAACCATGCATCTTCACCTGCTCCAGCCTTATCTTTTTAATCGGCACAAGGGCAAAGGAAAGCAAAGCAACACGTCAAACGCAGGTTAAGTCAATTGACCAGGACAATGTCACAATCCTTGCGCTCGAGCACGAATCGCTCATCCATTGATCGAGTAGTTTATAACATTTCATTGTTGAAAAAACCATGTTTCAACAAAACGTAGTAGTTTAGGAGGGAAGGAAGAAGAGGATGCATACCATAAGGGAAAATAAAGATGCAATATGGCAAACGTGAGTCAAACCAGTTGATTAGGACAATGTTTCGATCCTCTTACACCTAAGTTCGAACCATCCGTAGATTAGAGTAGTTTAAAACACTGTATTTTCGGAAGAAAACAAAAAGTTAAAATCACATGTTTCATTTGACAAAATGTGGCACAAGTTTTCTTTGTATGCATCTTTATTAGCTCATCATATAAGAAGTAGGATACAAAATCCTAGCATCTAGTCATCTACCATGCTACATTACTTTATGTATTACTTGAGGTAATTATCACTACTTCCCCTATACTTTGCTGAATCTGCATCTGCAGATTTTACCTACTGCAACTTTACTCGAAGAACACAACTACGAGTATGCGACGCAAACCCAACTCTACTTAGTTGCCAAGAAGTTCATGCAGATGGGAGGTTGAACCTTGGCCAATGCAAGAATCGACGAAGGGAGGATCCACATCCCGTCTCCACATATCAAACCGGAAGCAACTGCCGGAATCATTAAACTTGCCTTGTTCTTCTTCAGCTTGTGCCAGACAAACACAACCAAACTCCCCATGCACATATCAATCGCAAAGTACGCTCCAACGAGGAATGGGACAGCCATTGCCATTGGAAGCGGAACCCATTTCCCAATTTTCGTAGGAGCAAGATCTCTCAGCAGATTAGCTGCTATGGCAAATGAGAAAAAACCATAACACAGCTGTAAGCAATGTTTGGGCAGAGCAGAGAAGCCTTCAACACCGAGAATTGCCATGTTTCTGTAAATGATGGCGTAAGGGGCTTTGTATTCACCGTTTGGATCCCCCACTTTAAAGGCCTTGTAGAAGAGAAAGAATGTCAGAGGAGCTACCACGCAGCCTATGGCCGTTCCAATAGCCTGGCTTAAAAGCATTGATCGAGGAGACGTGAGAGTGAGATGACCAGTCTTTAAGTCGTGCATCAGATCGGAGGAGATAGAAACCATTGATTTGATCAGACCACAGGCTACAAGTCCTGCAACAACACCATCGCTTTTCCCAGCTACAGCAGCAAGCACAAAGAGAGCCACTTTCCCGTAGTTATGGGCCATGTTCATGTCAGTTAGACCCGCACCATAAGCATTGCAGAAGCTTAGAGAGGGTCCAATAAGGTAGGTTACGACTACATAATACCATTTCAGTTGAGGGAATATGAGCGGGATGATAATGATGGAGATGACAGAGAACAAGGTGTACCCTACGCACGCTACCCAAACCGGAATGTTATCCCTTATGAAGACTTCATTTCGTCGAAGATCATCAAGAGTCGCATTCTGGTTATTTGAAGCTGCATGAGAGAAATAGTTTAATGATGTTTCTCAAATCAAATGTTTCATTTTCGCACACGAAGCAGAAACCATGCAAAGTCGCGCGTTACCTGTTTTAAGGTTCTTCTTGTTCATTTTCATGTGGATGCTTGAGCCAGTAAAGTATAGTATCTTGAGAAAATTGTACAGTCCGTCTCCTAGTAACAAGGAAATGGAAATGAGAACCTGCAGCAAAACGAAGATACACGTAACTCAATTGCCTACATACTTGAACTCGAAAATCTCTATGACAAAATCAGTAAGAATCTCGTTAAGAAATCGAATTGAATGTCTAGTCCACACCTTGTAACCGTTTAGACTCTTCATACTACTTTCTGATAAAGTTGCAGGAAACCACTCTCCCTTAAGACCCCTTATCAATGGCCACATTACTCCCCAAGAGAGTATGGCGCCGAGAAGCAAAGATAAGTTCACTAGATGAGAACAGATCATCCCTGCTCCTATATAAGTCATACTGAAATCGAAGTAAAATCTGCAAAATACATTTTATGCAATCAACGACGAGAGAAGGATCAATCATGATTAACGGAAGGAAAATGAAAGATGCAGAGCACGCACGAATTTCTCCAAGCGGTCAATCCAAATGTTGGAAACTGAGCGAATCCGCATTTCTCTCCTCCAGAATAAAACCACTGAAAGAAACCCCACAAGAAACTAGCTGAAAAGAATTTCATGAACCCATGAACCTGCTTTCTGCAAGAAGAACCTCAACATGTTAGAGTTCTTTCAAGCTGGAGTCCTATTTGATATTAAACCGAAGATTAAGTCATAGAAACGGATGCCTACTTAGCCATCTTGTCACCCTTTGAAGTATGGAACCCATTAATAAGGACAGCAGTAGCAGTTCCACTCGGGTATGGTAATTTATAGTCTATGATCATGATCTGCAAACACAACCCAAACTGCATGAACAAACAATATTCTAACCCCGTACGGAATCAATAACTTTGTCAATTCAAACACACAAGCAATCTCAATCGATTTCTCAATAATTTCGCAGTTCAGACCCAATTTACTCTTTCACTCCTTTATACAAACCTTGTTCTGTTATCGAAAGTTAGATCGGACGAAAGAACATACCTTTCTGAGAGGAACCAAAGCCAGCAGCCCAACAAAACTAGTAACAAATAGAAAACCAGTCATCCAACCAAGCTCTGGTTCCTTGGTGCTCCCGGGAGTGTTCCCCACAGTATCAACCCCAACTTGCTCGTAAATATACCGGCTTAGACCCAACAGA